GAAATATGTGATCATTCATTTCACTATATTTCTTCAAGTCTCAATCACAACTTTTATTTTTTAATCACTTTGTTAATAATCGTGTCAAACTAAAAGAAGACATCTAACATAGACTTCTAAAACAACACATCTAAGTAGTACAGAGTATATTATTACTTTTTTTTATCATCAAAACTAACAAATCCATTAAATAAGCAAATCGTTCGCCAGCTGGCTTACAATATAATGGGGGATAAAATCATAGGTGGCCCTCTGATCTGAGTCAGTAACGTGAACTTTAGCTAAAACATGAGCAACACGATTCACATATTGTCTACAAAAAGTGATTGGAATATTACTCTTTGTTTCTAAAACTTTCCTAATGTCATCAATGAAAAGACGGAGATAAGAGGAGCCGCCTCCCTTTTTGATCCCCTGAATAACAGTGAGTGCATCCGTCTTAATTTCCACTTTGCTCCAGCCTTCCTCAACCGCTCCCAAAACCACATCTCTAAGCCCACCCGCTCATCCCCGGCCTTCACAAAGTCACCATTCTCATCCCGTGCCACCCATTCCCAAGCACGCGGAGTACATTACGGAACTAGCGCGGTAGCGCGCGTTGCGCGCAATCCGTGCCCAACACTGAAAAACAAGCAATAAAGCTGTGAAAAATAATTAAAGCCAAAACAGAAGAAACGGTAGTTCAATCATGCAGACACACCATTGTGAACTGAGTACCAAAACAGAGGAACCTTTAAAAGAACGGCCACGAAGCATATCAAAACTGAGTACTTATTATAGAACCAAATATGTTTTGCATAAATAAGATCACTTCACACAAGTATGTTCCTTCTTTTTTCCGAATCAAATAAAAACTGAAGCAAAAGCAAAGTTGAAATAAGTAGAAATGGCATTAACTCTCAATGAATTTCTCCTCAAACTTGTTTATTTAAAAAACATAATATAGAAAAGTAATGCCTTAGAGTGTGACCAGAAGAGCATGAGTTCCTTATTCTTGAAAGATTATGGACAAGTAAAGGAATAATTATTAACTAAAATTAAGAAAGACCAAGAAAATACCAACATACATAGGAGTGGTGCATAGAGAAGGATTATATAAGCCCAAAATCCATTGGAGTGTGTTTTCACATGGCAACCGAATCCCCCGTTGCTATGTCTGCGATAGCAGACCATTTTCCAATTGCCTGACCAAGAATAAAACAGGGTCCTCAAATTTCACAAGATGAGTTCAAAAGAAAACATTATAGCCTCTTCAACCTCCACCCCCAATCTCATCTCTGGAGCCTCATTCTTACTGATAAGCTATAACATTCGGTTGAAAACCTTTGTCCTGATTATCAACTTTTTCCTTCTTTTTCAGCAATTTCATTGCTCCTGCATTCTAATCATCTCCTCTTCTTCCTTCTCATGAGAGGTGGCTTCTTATTCCCTCTTCTTCTTCTTCTTCTTCTTCTGATGTCAAGACCTCATTTCTTGAGCAAATTGTTCTTTGTTTTTTGCTGCCAGATCTTCAATTGATTAGAAACTGAAAAAACACGAAAAGCAAAGAAAGAATGAAGAAAGAGAGAAGATGACAACATGACAAAGAGCAGGAGAGGCGAAATTACCATCAATAACTATGATCAAACGGAAGAACAAGCACAACACCAACAATGAACAAGCAGCATGAGAAACGAATGCACTCACAACAGTCAATTGAGACGCTCAAAGCAACCAGGAAGGGCCAAAACACGTCAGCAATCAGGAGCAGTAATAAGTGACATGATATTTTTTCCAAGTCAGATTGCAATTCTCAAATCTTAGGTGCTGAAATTTCACACCACATAATGTTATCCCCTGCAGATAGATAACCTTCATTCATTAACCGAACTTCATTCATTATCTGAACATCTAAATCGTCATTAATTGGCATTCACATTTATTGGCATCTCATTTCATTAATTGTTAAGGCGGTAAGCCCACTTTAGTTTCTTATAATTCACTCCTTACCTGCATCTTTTTGAGTGGTTTTAAGCAGAATTAAAAATTGAACATTTATCCATATGAATACATTGCATCGTTACGAATGAAAGTATAAAAGTCGGAATCCCAAGGGCTAAGATAAATATTTCTTGAATTGGCCTAATTATGCGTCTAACTTTTTTATTGATTACTTTTACAAAGATACGCTGAATTGAGACTTGCCAATTTTTTACCAACACCAAATGGGGCTTCTAACATAACAGTGAAATGACTTCAGGTTGATATAAAAGTATAAAACAATAAGGATTTGGTTGACATTGGTTTGGTATAAAACACAAGGATCTAGCTCACAATTTTAACATTGGGTTGGAATGACATTGAATTCCTCTAGTCCATGTGATCCTCTCCTTGAACTCTGAACCTGAATGTCTGTACAAGAATTAAAAATGAACTCAAAACTATAATGACTTATTTACATAATACAACATACTACCTCCGTCCCACTAACATTGGGACGGAAGAAGGTGACACGATTATTAAGAAAAGTGAGTTTATGTGGTTGATATTGAATTGAAAAAGTAAAAATAAAGTAAGAATGATTTAGACCCACACAAACTTTACCAAATTTGGTATGGGACAATCTTAGTGGGACTTCTCGAAAAGGTAAAATGAGACAATCTTAGCGGGACAGAGGGAGTATAACATAAACTACAAAATATTGAAAACACAACTTATTAAAACCTGTGATGGCATGGAAAATAAGAGAGATGCCATGGTTGCTAATTTTTGCAACTTCCACTATAAGAAAATTTCTTACCTTATCTGAAGCAAGTTTGAAAACCTAAAACCATATTGTTGCTGTGAAATTAATAAAAATAGGAATAATTAAATGGAGAAGCTGAAGGGACAAAAAACTGATAAAACACCAACATCCAAAGCATTCTTGTACTAAATTTGCTTAATAAACCAACATCCAAAATCTTAATAAACTGAATTATAAGAAAAGCAACTGTACAGTTTCAATATCAGTAACGCAACCTAACAACCATACTGGACACAGAACGGTGGCCAAGTGCATTGGCAAATTCAATATTCATCTCCAAAAATCATCATACATCAACTTTCATATTTCTTGTTTTCTCTCATCCAGTTTGGAGATAAGAAAGTTAGTAACAAATTAATCAAGCCCTAAACAGTCTTGAGCAGGCTTGTCAAACCATGCACTCTCCTTAATTATCATTGGCAGGAATACATTTGTTCTACTTGCTAATCCAGAATCTAAACTGACTACTCCACACTCATAACATAAACGAGTAAAAAGTTAAAATGTACCTCCAAATAGGTTTTCACCTATTCATTATCTGAATCTGAGGCCAAAGCTGATATTTGTTCCCTGCTATGTAGTTAGTCCCCTGTTCGACTTTTTCTTCTCTTTTTCCTCCAGCTGCCTATATCAGTCACAGGTTTCAGCAAGGTAAATAACGAAGAGGCTAAGTAATTTGTAATAAACTAATAATACTAACCTACCTATTCTGAGTATGCACCGGTTGATAAGCCATTCTTTTTGCTCTTCCAAACCAGATTTCATGTTGAAAACTTACGGAGTACTTAACAAAAAATACTTTCCATTGTTCCAAACCAGATTTCCTGTTGAAAACTTATGGAGTACTTAACAAAAAATACTTCCCAGATGAAAGCATACATGCTTGAAACCTAAATACCATCATAACTGGAATTGAATATTCTCCAGAAAGGAGATTTGGTACCTGCACATAAAAGAAGCTTGTCAAAGGAGATTTGGTTCTAGAATTTCGTACATTATCAATATCAACCCGATCTATCTCTGAGCTCCCTAACTTGCTATTTCATAAACTGAGTTCATCTCCAGGCATAAGCCATAAAAGTTCACCATTGGCCACAAATCAATGATACAAGACACACAATATAATGCTACAACACACTCCTTCATAATTCTCCAAATATACAAGCAATTGATTAACAATATATACTCTTCACTCTTGGCTCAGTATTTTTTTTGCCTTAGCAATGCTAACCTGATTGGATTACAGAAACGTAACATAAAAGAGAAATTTATGGAGTACAGTTTTATGGAGAAGAAAAATTGTGTTTTTTCTTTTGTGGTAATAGAACAAACATTGTTGGAGTTAATGGATTTGGAATTAAGCAAACTACCGCACAGAGCAAGCCACCATATGCGCCCACTGTTTCAATCTACTCTTCACCTTAGCGGGATCTTCACCTTCACCATTCCAAAATCAAAACACGCATTCACCTAAAATCAATTACAGTTGACACTATATTTGTATTAAAAGAAAGAGAAAGAAACAATCCATATTCATTCTGCTTTAATTATCTAAATCAATGGCCAGAATCAGTGCAGGACTTCCAGAAAACGCCGCCATATCAAAATCTGAAGCCATAGTTGACATCGACTAAGATCCGGACAAACACTCGCTTTACCTCCTGTTGACGGCGCATAATAGATTCAGAGCAGGAAATGTCTTGGGCGAATGTGTTGGTTCATGAAGCTGGCTGCTTTCATGTCTCTAGGGAAGCTGCTGGTCTGCGGTTGAAACCTGAAAGTGGAAGGAAGGTACGGTGGTTGAAAGATGAATAAAGGAACAATCAATCGATATGAAAATTACAACTTATGAATCAATACCATGAGATGGGATGATTAGGGCAGAGTGATGCTCGTCACTGGACGCTGGTAGCTTCGACTGATGCTCGTCGCTAGACGCAAGGTAGCCTCAACGGCGGAAGAATTTTCTTGAACCCTAGATTCCGAAGCTCTAGAATTCGAAGAGCGCAAGGTCATGTGTATGTGAGCAGCAAGCAGCATTCAGAGGCTCAAAGGAGGCCAAGTCATCGTTAAACGGAAGCAACTGACGGAGGCAATATTTGGACTCTCTAGATACGGTAAAACGACCATCTACCTCTGTTTGGCACTTTATATTTTCAGTAGATACGGAGTATTACTAGAGCCTATTTTTTCTTTATTTTTTTTTGAAACAATATTTTAAAATTTTAATCCAAGCGACGCCCCAGGCAAAACGTCTTACATGACAAAATTTGTATGGAGCATTTAAGATGAGGGGCTCTTTCACTTGAGTAGGCGTTGGTTAAAGTAACGAGGAGAATTTTTTAATTTGTTAAAACTTAAAAGTAGATGTTTATTTATTTTGCTTGAATCTGAAGTTTTTGACACCTACTGACCGTACTGTACAATATTTTGATGATAAACCGACTGAAACTGCAACGACGACCTTCTCACGGCTACTCTTTTCTGGTTTAGGCAAAGTCTTGTCTGGTCTTGTTCTTTCCCGAGCTCAGATCTACCGTGTCAAAGTAATGGCGGAAGACAAGGATGCCACGTCAGTCCCCCTGAGTCAACCCGCCGCCGACGATCCAGAAGACCCACTCAAATCTCCTTCCAATTCACCCAATTCGTCTACTCGCAAGGTGCGATTACCTCCATTTCCCTTTTTTAATTTACAATTTTACTTAAAATCTTGTTTGTGTCTCTTCCAGTAACCTAAACCCTGTCCTAAAGCTTGAAGATGCGATAATATCTTGAAATTCTTTTAATTCGAATGTCCAAGTATTCAATGCGCCTGCTTATACTACTTTGCTAATTCTCCATAGGGTGGGTTGTGGACACTACCATCCCAATTAAAATAAGCAGTCAGAGAAATCAACGTAACCCAATGACAAACTGTGTGAATTTGTTTGTCATCTTGAGTAAAATGCCCAAAAAAATTTGTACCTTCTAAAAACTATTGGGTTTGTACATTTATGCTTGGCTAATTAAAAAGATCATTTTTTGGGGTAATGGAGCGTGTACCCCACTTTTATATCCCAATTTTTGAGTTCACACCCCATTTTTGAATTCATTAATATTTGGAATACTGTTCCATATTATAGTTTGCATTTCATTTTTCACCCAAGTTGGATTGTGCCGTCAGAGGGGATAAGAAATTTATTCTTATGATATGATGTCATAATAACCAAGCTTTGATACCAATTGTAATATTAAATGCCAAGATCGAAATCATATAATCACAAAAAATCATAAGTGGTACTAATAGGTCAAGATTTAGAAATACCTGGATCTATAGATGAATGAATAAGAATAAATCCCTTATCCCTCTTAGAGGTAGAAATCTCATAATTATATTCTGTTGTTATTGCAGAATATGCATATATATAGAGGGAGAGGAGAGGGTTGGGGAAACCTAGTCCTAGACAGACTTAAACACATGTTCAATCTATCAGTAAATCAATTAAAAGTCTAAGACTATATGAACTTTATTAATAGTATTAATAAATATTAGAATATTAGAATAGTAGAATATCAACGATATTCTAATTAACCCCAATTACATGACCAATATTAGAATATCAATTATTAACTAAATACAATAGTATATTCTAACATGTGCACCTTATTACTAACAGATTTTTCTACGAGCGGCATGCAAATATTATTGATTTAAAAAAATGGGATGCAAGCTCCTATTTTTTGGATGAAAAAGTGTGAGAACTCCAATTAATTCCCCCTCCCAATATCTGAAAGATATTCTATTTGATAACAGAAATACCATACTCCACTTCCACTTCAGTATGAATAATATTTTGATGGATCTCACCTTTAAGATCTTGTACGAAACAATGCAATGAAGTCACTGCTTGTTGCATTTTTTATCCACTTAGAAATTCATACCATTTGTTTTGTTTCTTCAGGCTTGTTGTTACTTCCTTCAAAGCTGGGTCTCGAAGAAGTTCATGACTGGATGGTGAATATCCTTCTCTTTATCGATCAAGATGCATAATATTTTGCCTATTTAATTGACGTCAAAAACCCTTGGCTTTGGAATTGCAGTGTAGTTCTCTTTCCTGTTGCGGTTACATTCTTTATCACGTGGTGGTTTGTTCAGTTTGTTGATGGTTTCTTCAGTCCACTATACGAACAACTAGGCATTGACATATTCGGTAAGTCCGAAGTGTTAGGTTCTGTTTCCTTGAATTTTCAACTTGATATTTGCAATGCTTTGACTTACCCCATTTTAAAAAAATGATCTATATCATGTCCAGTATGGCCTTTTTTGTATTGAGTTTATGAAAAAACATTAGCTAATGTTTTGATGATCGTTGTGAATGTTGCCATGGGAATGCAATCTAGTAGTCATATGAAGCGAGTAAGTATGAGCATTCATAAACTCAATCATGTGAACCTCATCATGAGACGTCACTCATGAAACTGAGTTTCTGTTATTAAATGAAGGCATACACGCAGTTTAGAATTCGGTAATAAGTTAGAAGATATTTCATTCTCTGATAGCTGCAATGTTTGATTTTATGCTGTGAATTAATGACTTACCTGGTTGCCCCCCCCCCCCCCCCCCCCCCCGCCTGCACAAGACCTATATATTCTCAAGAATGTTATAGTTTTTTTTTGTGTGTATTGTCATGCAGGACTGGGATTTGTGACATCACTAGTTTTTGTGTTCTTAGCTGGTGTGTTTGTCTCATCGTGGCTGGGATCTACTGTATTCTGGATTGGAGAATGGTTTATAAAGCGAATGCCATTTGTTAAACACATATATTCAGCTTCCAAGCAAATAAGCTCTGCAATATCTCCAGGTAAGCCACAGCTCTTTCAGCTGCCATGCATTTCAGCATTTGTGTTCTATGGGGAACTATAACATCAATCTCCTGGTCATGCTAGTGATTGACAGGGGAATCTAATTTTACATGTCCTTTGTTTTGGATGAACTGTAAGTATATATTAGAAACCATCCAAAAGAGTTTAACTGTACAACAAAAAGGTGAGTAAAAATGCAGGCTATCCAAAGATTGGATAACCCATCACCTCAAAATAAGATGATATCTAAGCAACCTATGCTACTTCACGACCAATAAGTGATGGGCAGAAAGTTATCAAATTACAACCCAAATCATGTGGATAGATACTATACAAAACTTGTACACAATGTACTTTATCCTAGCAAAAACGTCTTCTTCTTTGGCAGACAATCCATCAAATCTGACTTCATTTCTGATCCTCCAAATCCAGTATATGGAGTAGCAAAGTGCAATCCGAGAGGCCTTAGCTTGTATTCTAGCTCCACTCCTTTCCTTCTTTATCCATTTCACCGAGCTAGGCAGGGTTCCCATATGTCGCGGTATATGCATCCAATCCTTCACCATGCTCCAAACTTTTCCTGAAAAAAGGACATTCAAAGTATAGGTGTGAAACCGTTTCCGGTCTTCCCTTGCACAATATACAGGTGTTAATCACATCTAATCTATGAAGATTATCATATGTAGCTAACCTATTTCAGAATGCCAACCAAGCAGTAAAGGAAAACTTAGGAGGAATACAATCTTTCCAAATAAAGGATGTCCACCTACGGGTAGGTGCTTTTTTCCTAAGCAAGTTATACACCTTTGAGGATAATTTTACTTGTCCTTATTCGTGAGAAACCTATTTCTTCCTTTAGTTTCTATCTACGAGGGATAAAGAGGAACTAGCAAAGTAGTTGGATTTATGTTAACCTTTCCTTTATATAACTTATTTCAAATCACATAATGCACTTCCTCCGTCCCTGAAAAACTTCCAACTTTCCTTTTTGGACGTCTTAAAATAAACTTCCACTTTCCCTTTTGATAGAATTTGTGGTTCACTAACAAATCTTACACATTCTTACACATTTCTCTCTCCTTTTCACAACTCTCCACCACATAATACTCACTATCTTAATTTGTGTGCCATTTGTACTATGGAAGAAAAATTAGGGACGGGGGGGCATTATTTTACTTGATGCTTAGTATTTTATGAAAGTGCAAAAAATTGGAGTATTCACCAACAATGTCTTAGTTTAAGGTGCCTAGCAAATGTGGAATGCGGAGAAGTGTCTACACACACATATGCATGTGACCATATGTCTCTTTGTGTGTATCATCATCATCATCACCCCAGTGCCGCAAAAGCCTCCCACCTACGGTGGGGTAAGGGGGGTCGGATGTAGGCAGTCTTACCCCCGTACTAAAGCATAAAGAGACTGTTTGCAGATGACCATAGTGAAAATTGCGTTGCAAATTGTGTGTATGCTTAACTAAAATTGTGCCGATCAGCTTCTCCTTACAAATTTAGACATAAATATTCCTTGAAGCTGATTTTTCTCTCTATATCTGTTTATATTTCTAACAGACCAAAATACAACAGCTTTTAAGGAAGTGGCAATCATAAGTCACCCGCGTGTGGGTGAATATGCTTTTGGGTTCATAACATCTTATGTCTTCCTTCAGGTATTGTTTTCTTCAAAATACAATTTGTACTTCAAGCAAAGTACTAGATTGGTGAAGTATAAAAACTCTGTTAAGACCCGGGGTTCCATCCTAAAAGGTTGACCTTTTAGGATGGAACCTCGGGTCTTAACATGGTATCAGAGCCAAATCGATCCATGGTGTGGGGTCCCTTATGAAAAATGATGACACGATTATAAAAACGGCCGGATGAAAAAAAATGAATGATGGCACGATCTAGACGAACTATCCCACACCAGAAAAGTTTGGATGAACAAAGTGCTATATTAACACATGGGCTACTACTCCTCATTGATAAGTTCTTGGACTACCCCTTCTTTAAAGTTACGTTTCGGAAGGAACCATAAGTCTTAATAATACAAACCATCATGTGTCAAAACAATTGTTAATTGCCTCCTAAAATATAAGAAAAGTACAGCTAGTAAGTATTATAATAAAGAATTGAATTGATTCAATTCTATAATTGCATAATCTTTGCACTTCTATTAGTTGCCCTACACATTTACATTTGTAATACGTTCAGTTGTATTTAGTAAGCAATTAGTAGTACTTGTGCAGACCTGACTGTCTTGTAGGCCTATGCTTTCAATACAGGGAGTTAATTATTTTTTATCCTGGTATTTAGCATAGGAAAATAAATAACTTTGGCACTCGTTCCAATAGGCCTTGGTATTTGGTAGAACCGCTTTTCGTAGCTTCATTGTGAAGTGTACCCTACGATAGATTTCTTTGTTTTGAGTTGAATAGGATAATATATCTGAATTGCCAACTCATTATTATGTGTACGGCCGTACGGGCATCCATTTTGGAAGTAAAAGTTGAAAATATACGAAAATGAACTACAACATACGGAGTAATTCTTAATGTTAAAATCAAAACCCTAGAAGGGCTAACTATAACCTAGAGGGGCTAGCATTGTTTACATGTGAAAATGTATCTAAGTAGACCCTCTTGCCCTCTTGGTAAAGTAATTAGAAAGAGGTGTAGTTGGTTGTCCAAAAATAAAGCGGGTAGGCCTGCATGGCAAAAATAGGCATTGGGCTGTACAAATTGGACATTCCCCCAAAAAATGTCAGGTATACTGCAGTACTAGTAAACACTATAACCCTTGTAATTGTAATACCTAAAAATCTTCACAAGTAGTTCTCTTAGCAAGTTTTGGATATGTTCCGCTACTGAGTATTTGGGTGCAGAAAGATGATGGTGATGAAGAACTGTGTAGTGTGTTTGTCCCAACTAATCACTTGTACATTGGTGATATAGTCCTTGTTAGCTCCAAGGATATCATAAGACCGAATTTGTCAATCCGTGAAGGCATAGGTACACTTTTCCTGTTATTAACCACACTGTGGCATGCAGTCCTTGTTTTCCGCTTTTTCTTGTCATCTCTAACTTTTGAGTAAATCTTGCAGAAATCATAGTATCTGGTGGTATGACAATGCCGCAAAGCATTTCTCCTGTGGAAAGGATTGCTCGGCAAAGTGAAAGGATCCCACTCAACAGAATAATGTGATTGTGTTGTTGATGTACCCAGTTTTCTGTTTTCTGGACTGCCGGTGGTTGAGAGTACTTATGATCCAGGGGATGATAGTATGAGCTGTATACTTACTGTAAGAGATTCAAGTTTGAGAATGAAATGGACAGCTCTTCATATTGTAATTAGGTGTCTCTGTGTGTATTAATTTATATATATACACACATATTTATATTTATATATGCACCAAACCCCCCTGTGATTTGGAAATTCGGCGCATTAGCCCCTGTGATTTAAAAAATGCGTCAAACCCCCCCTGTGTTTTAATTAATCATGCACAAAACCCCTTTATGAATAAATTTAACGATTTGAAAATCACTTTTCGTAATATTTTGATTGAATATGCAAATAAATATGTCAAAATCTCTGAATCATACAAAAATGTTAATCAATTTTCTTTTATTTGACAATTGAATTTGTTCACATAAGGGATTTGGCACATGATTAATTAAAACACAGGGGGGTTTGATGCATTTTTTAAATCACAGGGGGCTAATGCGCCGAATTTCCAAATCACTGGGGGGTTTGGTGCATTAAACCCTTCCCTTTGGTTGAAATTATTTACATACTTTAACTTTTCTATTTTCTCTTTCTTGTACCTATCTCTGACGTCTCAACAACACAATTTTGAATTTCTTAAATTTTGTTAAACCTTTGAGTGAGCAATAATTGAAATTTTTGTGTGTATTATTAGTGTTGGACTCGGTTCGGGCCACCCAACTCGGGAACCGGGTATCGGTTCTGGGTCTAGGCCAGGTTTTAGGGTGTAACCGGGGGCGGTCCCGGGATAGGTGAAATGCGAACCGGGACTGTTTCGGACCTTTTATTTGTTTTTTCAATTATTTTGGGATTGGGTTGGGTTTAGTTGGGTTGGCTGTTTCCGATGGGTTTGGGCCTTGGGGGATGGGGGGAGGGGGGGAGGGGATGAAATAAATTAGAAAACAAAAAAATGGAATCGGAACTGGCCCGGCCCGAAACCGGTAGACAACCGGGTTGGTCCCGGGCCTAAACCACAACAATCCAGACCCGGCCGGGCCTAGGCTCGACCCGTACCCGGCCTGGTCCTGGGTCCATGACTATGTATTATAAAACTAAGAGAAATTGAAATAGCACTTTATTGGTGATTGCAAAATAAAAAATGTCAAGATTTATTAACCTTTTGGCTTTTGCTATTCATTGGTGATTGCATTTTTGCATAGCACTTTATTTGCATGGTAATATGGTATGTTACTTTGTTTAATGATTGGAAAACATAAAGGTATCCTTTATTTGTGAGTGAATAAAGGTATTCTCATAAACAGTCGAAATCCAATCATCATTAGCAATGCGTAACATCCATTAAATCTACACATACCATATATGTTTGGTAATGGATAAGAAAAAAAAAAGCATAACTAATCTTTTTAACTACCATTTTTCCTCATTTCTTGTGTCTCTTCAACCAAATAGGCTGATTAGAAAATGAATATTTAATTTGCACGGGTAGTTCAGTTGATTGAGTGACAGGAAAATTGGAATAATGAACAAGGATCGAAACCCGCAGTGACGGTGTGGAGGTTACAGCTCGTGCGTGTTGGGCTGGGTCTTTGGTACGCACCGTGTCACCGTGTGGAATCTCTGTGACTTACAATCTCTCAAATGTCTTATCGGGTTGGGGTGTGAAGGACGCTTGGGGTTGGGGATTCAATCTTTTGGAAGAAGATGAATACTCCGTATTTAAGAACGTTATTGTTTTTTTTTTTTCTGAATGGAAGTTATTGACTATTGTTTTTAGAGATATTACCCAAAATAGGACTAAAAAAGTTTGAAAATTCCAAAATAGGACTGTCATGTTTTTATTTCCAAAATAGGACTAATTACTGTCATGTTTTGGCAGTGCCAGACTTTAAATATGACAGCATTTTCCAAACTTGGCAGTAAATAGTCCTATTTTGGGAATAAAAACATGACAGTCATATTTTGGAATTTCCAAACTTTTTTAGTCTTATTTCGGGAACTTTCGCTTGTTTTTATAGAACTAATTGTTGGGGAATTGTTTCTTTTTATGATGTTGTGGAATTGTGAAAAACTCTTCTGAATTAATAATGTTTGCCACAATAAAATAAATACAAAGAATTATTAATTGCATTACTGTTCAATTTCATTTCTAAACAGACTCAGCCTTGGATCGACCCTTCCGGTCTCAGACTTCAGACGTCCGAAGTCCATTCGTTTGATCCATGAGTCATGACCCATGAACTCAATTGTTTGTTTGGACATCCAATCCAGTGTCTGGGAATCCTCCAATGCGTTATGCGCCTGCATCAATTCAAACTTTAGATTCATGGAAGAAAATTCAACGACAAGTAGTCATCTCATTACTTCATTAGATTAGATTCTAACGGAATAATTGGTCACTTGATGGTAAATGTTAAAGTGTTCCAAATTATAACTAGATTATATTTTGAATGGGGAAAAGTATAAATATACCCTATAGTTGAGTGTGAGAACAAATATACTCATGTTCTATTTTCGGAATAAATACACCCCTAAAATATATGTGAAAGTGCATATATACCCTTGAACTTTTTAAAAGGTGCAAATATATCGATCATATTCTTATAAAGGAGCAAACATACATTTATTGGATTTAAATTGATAAAATAAATTTCAAAAAACACCAAAGATAAATTATAAATTCAAAATTAAAAAATTAAAAAAATTAAAAATGTACTTGTGTTCAATTCTCCCTTTTATTATTTTCATATCACATTTAAATATTGTTAGTATACAATGTTAATTCAAAACTTTACTATATATTTAAGATTCTTTCGAAAAAAGTGGTAACATATGTGTTCCAATATAAAAAAAAAATTGCATTCTTTGCACTATAAAATTACATATTTTGTATGATGATAAATAGTTCTAGATTACAAAATAGTGAATTTAATTTTATTAAGGTTAAACAAAATCAAAGAATGTTATTTAAAGAAATATAACAATGTGTTCAAAATTTTCAAACAGGTATAAATATACTAGATTATATTTTGAATAGGAAAAAGTATAAATATACCTCTATAGTATGAGTGTGAGAACAAATATATCCTTGTTCTATTTTTGGAACAAATATACCCCTGAAGTATTTGGAAAGTGCATATATACCCCTCATATTCTTATAAGGGAGCAAATATACTTTTATTGGCTTTAAATTGATTAAATAAATTTCAAAAAACACCAAAGATAAATTATAAATTCAAAATTAAAAAATAAAAAAAAATTAAAAATGTACTTGTGTCCAATTCTCCCTTTTATTATTTTCATATCACATTTAAATATTGTTAGTATAAAATGCTATTTCAAAATTTTACTATATATTTAAGATTCTTTCGAATAAAGGAATTTCATATGTTTTCCAATATAAAAAAATTGCATTCTTCGCACTATAAAATTACATATTTTGTATGATGATAACTAGTTCAAGATTACAAAACAGTGAATTTAATTTTATTAAGGTTAAACAAAATCAAAGCATGTTATTTAAAAAAAAATAACAATATGTTCAAAATTTCATAACAAGGCTAAAATTAATATTTATGAATTTGAAGTACGTGCTTCATTTACAACGGAAAAATAATAATTTTGAAATTTAAAATTAAAGAGTTAATATTTTTTAATGATAATAAATCTATATTTTTAAATTTCTATTTAAATCATTATATTTTATTTGGTGTTTTTTGAAATTTAGTTTATCTATTTAAAGTCTATAAGGGTAAATTTGCTTCTTTATAAGAAAATGAGGGGTTTTTTTGGACTTTTTAAAAGTTTAGGGGTATATATGCACTTCAACATATACTTCAGGGGTATATTTGTTCCGAAAAATAGAACAAGAATGTATTCGTTCTCCCACCCATAGTACAAGAGTACATTTGTACCCCTCTCCTATTGAGACTATAAGCTAGCTCAATTTAGTTACTAATTAGCACGACCCTGGTCTAGCCATTCATATTTTAACAACAGACATAACTAGGGTTTGGGCCTTGGTCTGAAACGTTTTTTTCGGGTCTGAGCTGGTCCTTGGTACTCGGCCGGTTTGGCCCCACTCGATTCCCATTTTATTTGTTTTTAAAAATTAAGTCGGGAGAGGAACAACCCAATTAGGTCCCCAAGACTATAAATCGGAACCGTGAACAGTTCTAGAATGGACTAGTCATGTCCTAGGCCCAAAACCACTCTAAATGGACCCGGTCCAGTACTAAACAGAGCCGGACATGGTTCTAGACCGGGCCAGACTGCATCCATGCCTAGACATAACCAATGATAGCATTGCCATTTTTAAAAGTGGTTTTATTAGGTCAAACTCAAAAGTATTTTTAGTGATTTTGAAAGTTATCTATTTAATTGTTATGCTTTTTTCTTTGACTATTTTCTAAGGGTATGCTTGGGAGTTTGGAAGGAAGGGTAGGGGAAGACTTTGAAAGTATGTTGTTGGAGGGGAAAGGGAGGGGAAGGTGAGGAAACTCCTCTACGTATTTGGGAGTAATGAATTTGGAAGAAAGAGTCTTTGAATGAATTATAATTAAAATCAGTGGCGGATCCAAGAAAAATTCTTATTGGGGGCAGAGTAATCAAACGAATAAAAATTAATAAAGTATAGTTGTATAAGAAATTGTTCAATATATGAGTAGAAAGTTAGAAACCTTTGTGTATTCCTAAATAGAATGTCATGTTGTTATTCACTAAATATGAGTAATTAGTGTCATTTTTTGACAAAATCAGACTTTAAATATGACAATATTTCTCAAGTTTGACAATAGTTACTCCAATTTAGGGAATACAACATACGGAGTATATGATAGTCCAATTTTGATTTTCTCAAATGTTTTTACTCCTATTTCGGGAATTTTTCCTCATGTTTAGAGATTTTTTTCTCATAAATGTAGAAGATTAGACTCCAATAGATGTATAACTATTTGAGTGAAATGATCATCTATCTATTAAATTAAATCTAATGGATTTACATAAAAAACCTTACAAAATTAAATATTAATAATTACATTATGATAAGTTTAATAACATTATCTATTATTTATAGAGTAATATATGTCTTTAGAGTTTAAACAAATAAACAATTGAGATGTCATACAAGGAGCGGACTAACCCATTAATAACAACGTATAGTAACAACGCAAAGTGCAACACTCTACTATCAAATTCATTAATAGATTATTGATTTAAAAATAAAGTGGTATAAAATGAGGCTGATCTCTTGGCTATATAAGATTCAGCGGTAACTTTTCAGGTAAGTTAGCGGGTTTGCCGGTGTGGGTGAAATTCATAAATTAATGGCTTTGAATTGGGATGACTGAACGGCCCAGTTATTTTCTGTCTATGTTGTAAAAATCGGACCGGAGGGTGACCCGGACGAATGACCGGGTCAAGGGTCAATCCGGACCCGGAGGGTCAACCCGGTCAACGGGCGAAAAACCCGGTCAACCTTTGACCGGGTTGACCGGGTTGACCTGGTTGACCCGGTCAACCCGTTCAACCTTTAATATAAATTATATTAAGATTATAAAGATAAAACATATTCTCCTTTATAAAATAGTGATAGTATATAACAAGTATAACAATAATAATAGTGTTCTAATATTTAAAATACACATCTATAAACAATACTATTATGTGTGAATGATGGTTATTATAAAA